AGTGTATAACTATAAGCAAGTCTAGTTGAACATGTCCAGGACTCCCATTGATACCAGCAATTTGGTGAAGGGACTATCTGGTAAAAGATTCCTCAGTACAGCAGCCACCTTAACATGGTTGCGACTGTCACAACCAAACGGAAAACAGGCTTTATTTTTACTGTTGTAGAAAATGAAAACAGCTAAGCAAGGGCCATAACTTGTTGTTTTTTTCTGTTATAGTCATCCATGGTCACTTCTATATACCAGTTGGTAGACTGTCACCATCTATAATCATCCATAAAAATGATTTCGTGTGTATCAGTACAGCACAAGTCATTTCTCATGGCTGTATAGAAGATGTTGTAGCACTGACAGGGAGTGGTCATCATGTACAGCTGGTTTTAAACTCAGCCTGCACCGCTGACCTCCCAGGAACAGTTAATATTGAAGTTATCCCACAATGTGTTAACTATAGACGTATGATTACTGCAGTAAGAAATCTTCCACAATCCACAGAGGATGTTCGCTCACTGTTTTTAACGCGAGATTTGTATTCTCCTGTAAAAAAAAGCAGAACAAAGAGATCATTTACATCGTCCTTTACCCTGGATCCAAGCCAAAGGAAAGCACTTGAGAAAGCTATCCATTCTTCATTTACGATTATTGAAGGACAACCAGGTTAGTATCATCGTGGCTTCGACATGTCGAGCAAAGGCTTTTGGCTACTATAACTTCCCCACGAATGGCCTTTGCTCGAAACTTCGAAGTTCTTGTGTTTTTCAGGCAGTTGCATCCCTATCAACCGGAAGCTTTCTGTGTTGGAGTACTTTACTTTGATATTTGTGGTGTTACTCTGAGTGTATATCCCACCGTGGCCGGGCATATTTTTCGGGCTCGCCCGGTGTGGATATACACTCAGAGTAACACCACAAATATCATATTCACCTGAGTACACTACACCAACACAGGAAAAAAAAAAGTACTTTACTTTGTTTACTTACAAAACGTAGTTTGTTTGTTTGTTAAGAATCTTCCTAGGGCCATGATAGGGTCAATCTTAATTCGTCCAATGTCCTATACAGGAGGAAACTGGGTTACCTGAGAAAAACCTGCGGTATTTGACAAACTCACATGTGAAATTATAATCAGACAAATGCGTTGTAGACAGTGCCGTAAGAACGGGAGGCGGCATATGGGGCTGGTGTTTATTTTCGCCGGAGAAAACAATAGGAAAACCTCATAGAAGAGGTCTTCCTTACGAGAAGTGCCGCCCCAACTTCAAATTGCTTCCTAAATCCTACATACCACTGATTCCAGGTATCAAACCCCAGTTGCATAGATGCAGGTGAAAGGCACATTGACTAACCAGGTAACTGCGGATTGTGAGAGATGCAACTACCTGAAAAATATACATTCACGTTTCGAGCGAAGGCGTCGGGAACACAGTAGCCATGGGCCTTCACTCGAAACGTCCAAGTTCTGTTTGTATTTTCCAGGTAGTTGTATCTCTCGCAATCCGCAGTTTTCTTTTTATCGTCTCCACACTGGCACAGACTGTTCAAGATTACATTCACAAACCAGTCAGTTTGCCGCGATGACCTCTTGGAATACTAATGATTTTGAATGTTTCTATGTAGGAACTGGTAAAACGTACTGTGCTGCTGCTATTGCCGAACAATTTTTTCTTGAAAATTCTTACCAAAAGCCATTTGCCAATGTGTTGTTGTGCAGTCCAACAGACCAAGCTGTAGATGATGCTGAAAGTTTGTATTTGTACTTTATTATTTTAGTCCAGCGGAAAAGTAAAAAATCGTGCACTTTGTGAAGAAAGCACCCAATTCACAGGAAGTGTAGACTTTAACATGATAATGAATCCTAGATATGGAGGCATCACCAAAATTGATGCTGACGTCTTAAAATTTAGGATTTCTTATATTCTCTTATTAAACTCTATTACTGTTTAAAATTGTGAAATTGCAGGTTCACATGTACTAAAAATGACTTGCATGATTAGAAAGCTTACAAAAAAACTACATATAAGACTTTTAAACGGCTGATTGATTTTCCAAGCGGTTTGCCAGTTACTGCTATTTAAAAACGTGATAAATAGGCAAAAATCCCGCCAAAGTCCTGGATACTAGCCCTAAAACATATTTTCAACCGCTCATAACTCCAGAGGAGTTGGAAAATCAAAGTAACTGCTTAAATGTCTTATATGCAGTTTTTTGTAAGCTTTCTAATGACGCATGTCATTTTTACTATATGTGAACCTGCAATTTCACAATTTTTAATTGTATAAGAGATTAATTAATAAGAGAATATAAGAAATCCTAAATTTTAAGCCGTCAGCATCAATTTTGGTGATGCCTCCATATCTAAGATTCATTATCATGTTAAAGTCTACACTTCCTGTGAATTTGGTGCTTTCTTCACAAAGTGCATGATTTTCTCAAATATCTGTGCATATCCGCTGGACTATTTTGAGAACTGTGGGTTACTATGTTTTTATATTGTTATATGCGTGACGCAGTGATTTTACTATAGTAAAAATAGAACTTCCAAAATTACTCGAGATTTCCAAGGAGAATATATTGCATGCGAATATTAAAGGAATACCGAATGGTTTTCCGTGCAGGATTGCGTGATCCGTGCACGAGGGATGTCGCGAGACTTTCGGAAAGCGTTGATTATTGATATAGCTGATTTACATTATGCTTTCTCTCATGGATTGCATGTTAAGGCTTTTTGAAGTATTTATATTAATCATCCTTAACACAGGACGATGATATAATTCGTCGAGACGTCTATACGTCTTACTTAATATAACTATAGCTGTTTTGTTACTTTGCAGATATCCTTTCTCGCGTTTCTACAGTTCGTGTTCTTCGTTCTTATGATCGTGAAATAGAAGCCGAGTCTTTTCCAGAAATAGCCGCTGTTTATGGCGTGCATCCTAGATCTTCCGCAACAGACCGCATATTACAGGAATCAGCTTTGCATTTTAGAATCCGAAGTAACTCCAATCCTTTTCATAGAAAGATTCTGAAATATGCCCAACAGTTGCAAAACATGCTACAAGAAAGCAAGGCCAAGGGAGGAAATAAGCAGCAATTGTGCAGAATTATTGAAGAATACAAGAAGCTCGTTGACATGGCTGAAGAGTATGAGCTCACAGAAAGTGGTGTAAATATCGTATTATGTACTTGTATTGAAGCAGGGAGCTTGCGGATACAAAAGCATGCCAGGATCAAGCAATGTATTATGGATGAAAGTCACCACTGCTTAGAAGCAGAGAGTTTGATGGTGTTTCAAACACTCAGCACACGTTGTGAGAGAGTTGTTCTTCTTGGGGACAGCAGGATAGAGGCAGGTCCTATTATTGAAAATAAACTTGCAAGACGTTTTGGTCTCAACAGATCCTTATTTCATTCTTTAAGGAGTGCAAGAGGGAAGACGAGATTACCTAAACTTATATTGGATGTACAGCATAGAATACTAGGCTTATAAAAGTTGCAGCCACTGCAGACGTTTTGAGCTAAAAACGTTGACTCAGAGCTGTTGATTCACTGTTGTTTCCGAAATGAATGCTTTCACTTGTTGCACATAGATCTTGTTGTATATGAGACACAAAGCAATCTAGTCATATATTTGGTTAACAAAGACGATGATATACAAGAATCTTACATCAAGATGAAAAGAGTCTGTTGCATTAAAAGTACTTGTAAAATAGTTTCATTATAAAAGATGTATACATATGGCACAGGAACGTGTATTTTGATCAGATATTGTATTGCTCACAAACCTGCTGTACATTTAGAGAAGGTGAAAGCAAGGATTTTGCCATTTCGACAAACAGTTATTTGATAAAAGACGATTCTAAAGTGAATGGTTTAACAGTTGATATTTTTTACAATGTTGCGGTCGTCTAAACCCCATGAACCCCGTGATGTTGTTACAAAACAGTGACTGCAGTCATAGCATGCATGGTTCCCACGAATGCCAACAGGGCAAGAAGATACAGATGAATGTATGGATTTTTGCGCCTTAAAATTTGATCCAGGCTGCAGCAAGGACTTCATCAACAAGCTGAAAGAGTCTGCATGTAATGTAAATTTAATGATATTATACCTACCAGGCCACTTCTCGACTTTTACCACCCCCTTATAGTTATTGCCGTTGTTACCATTTGCTGCCACCCTCATGGCAGCAAAATAAACACTGTCAGTGGCTCAATTGAGGAAAATGAGGTAAACAAGTTGTGTAGAGATGAACCAGTACCATACAGTATCATTTAACCACTTGCACAAGGCAGACTGTCTTGTCTTAGCAATTCAAACTGACAGTAATGGATTTCTAAGAGCCGCTCTTCAGCATTTTAAACAAAGGACAGTGATTATGTACACTGTATGAGACTTGCAAAGCAGAAAATGACTTTGCTTAGGATTATGGATTATTTGATACACTGGTATTATACAGTGGTGGTAATACACTGGTGGTTAAAATAGAAATGTGAAATGAAGAGGATAAGCGAATATTTATATATTAACCAACAATGCTTGGTAAAAGAAGCAATGATTCAAGCTTCATTGCTTAACCCTACACAGCTTCACTTCAATCAGTTTTATCACAAAAGATAAATTAAAGACAGTTCCATTGAACAGTAAATATTGTAACTTGAAATTTGAAAAAATAGTTAAATTCTTACTTTTGTTGTGAATTAAAATATTTGGTAATTGTTATACTTGTGGATGACTTAGTAATACTTTAGGTAAAGGGGGCTGAGCTGGGCCAGCCCGGCCATAGAATAAAGATCCATATAGAAGGGCCACTTACGTCGGAAGCTTTGAAGTTTCTGTCCTCGCGCATGTCGCATTACGCATGTTGGCCGCCATTTTCCTAACCAGTCAATGACATTTTCTGGCCAATAAACACGCTGTACTGGCTGGCTGCTCCGCCTTCTGGCCAGTAAACTGCATATTTTTGCATAAAAAAACGAGGACACGTTGCACCCCTGAGTGGCCCTTCTATATGGATCTTTATTCTATGGCCCGGCTGTATAGCCGGGATGAATCGTGTCACGAAAATGTTTTCCTGACCATAAAAGAAATCGTTTGAATGAACTTTATACTGTTGTTGGAATCAAAATAAGCTAATTCAGCTTTGAAATGTATGGTGGCCGAGCGTTGCCACTCGTTTTTTTTTGTACATTTTACATTATTTTAAAGATTTTTTTACTTTTTATTTTTTTAATTAAAATGAAAAATAAAAATAAATTAAAATGAAATACAAAATAAATTAAAATGAAATACAAAATAAATTAAAATGAAATGCAAAATAATTTACAATTAAAATTAAAGTAAAAGTGAATTTCACCATGGCCGAGGGCTGCCACTACCAAAATATTCTTTATAATTTTTTTTAATTAAAGTGAAAAATAAAAATAAATTAAAATGAAAAATAAAAATAAATTAAAATGAAAAATAAAAGTAAATTAAAATGAAATACAAAATACTGATTTACAATTAAAATTACAAAGTAAAAGTGAATTTCACCATGGCCGAGGGCTGCCACTACCATAATGCACAGCGACCCGAGAGCTGACTCATTAAAATTCCTTTGTTGTGACAAAATGGCGGGCAATTCTGATATATAT